TTGAAGAAGGGGGGACCATTGAAAAATTTCTGTTTTCAAAAAGTTGTCTAAAAATTGTGAAAAAATTCAGGGACGTAGATCTCGACGTGCTGATTCCAAAAATATAGCGTGTTGATGGCCACGGAGCAACATTTTCGAAAGAATCGGTACGAAATGCGAATTTTTGAGAATTTCTAAAAATTCCGATATTTCGACAGTCGATTCCGGAAAAACCGTTGGAGTTATCAAAAAAACGCGACCGGAAATGAGTTCTAGAGCTCGAAATCTACAAGAAAATGTGTTTAGTTAAGTTTCGAAAATGTCAAAATTTCTCAAAAATTTGAAGAAGGGGGGACCATTGGAAAAATTTCTGTTTCCAAAAAGTTGTTTAAAAATTGTGAAAAAATTCAGGGACGTAGATCTCGACGTGCTGATTCCAAAAATATAACGTGTTGATGGTCACGGAGCAACATTTTCGAAAGAATCGGTACGAAATGTGAATTTTTGAGAATTTCTAAAAATTCCGATATTTCGACAGTCGATTACGGAAAAACGGCTGCAGTTATCGAAGAAACGAGGCCGGAAGTGAGTTCTAGAGCCCGAAATCTATAAGAACATGTGTTTAGTTAAGTTTCGAAAATGTCAAAATTTCTCAAAAATTTGAAGAAGGGGGGACCATTGGAAAAATTTCTGTTTCCAAAAAGTTGTCTAAAAATTGTGAAAAAATTCAGGGACGTAGATCTCGACGTGCTGATTCCAAAAATATAGCGCGTTGATGGTCACGGAGCAACATTTTCGAAAGAATCGGTACGAAATGCGAATTTTTGAGAATTTCTAAAAATTCCGATATTTCGACAGTCGATTACGGAAAAACGGCTGCATATATGGAAGAAACGAGGCCGAAAGTGAGTTCTAGAGCCCGAAATCTACAAGAACATGTGTTTAGTTAAGTTTCGAAAATGTCAAAATTTCTCAAAAATTTGAAGAAGGGGGGACCATTGGAAAAATTTCTGTTTCCAAAAAGTTGTTTAAAAATTGTGAAAAAAATCAGGGACGTAGATCTCGACGTGCTGATTCCAAAAATATAACGTGTTGATGGTCACGGAGCAACATTTTCGAAAGAATCGGTACGAAATGCGAATTTTTGAAAATTTCTTAAAATTCCGATAGTTCGACAGTCGATTACGGAAAAACGGCTGCAGTTATCGAAGAAACGAGGCCGGAAGTGAATTCTAGAGCCCGAAATGTACAAGAAAATGTATTTCGCTAAGTTTCGAAAATGTCAAATTTTGGCAAAAATTTGAAGAAGGGGGGACCATTGGAAAAATTTCACTTTTGTAAAACTTGTCTAAAAATTCGGAAAAAATTCAGGGATGTAGATCTCGACATGCTGATTCCAAAAATATAGCGTGTCGATGGTCACGAAGCAACATTTTAGAAAGAATCGGTACGAAATGTCGATTTTTGGAAATTTCAAAAAATTCTGATATTTCAACATTCGATTCCGGAAAAACCGTTGGAGTTATCAAAAAAACGAGACCGGAAACGAGTTCTAGAGCTCGAAATCTACAAGAAAATGCATTTCGCTAAGTTTCGAAAATGTCAAATTTTATCAAAAATTTGAAGAAGGGGGGACCATTGGAAAAATTTCACTTTTATAAAAGTTGTATAAAAATTCTGAAAAAATTCAGGGATGTTGATCTCGACGTGCTGATTCCAAAAATATAGCGTGTTGATGGTCACGGAGCAACATTTTCGAAAGAATCGGTACGAAATGCGAATTTTTGAAAATTTCTAAAAATTCCGATATTTCGACAGTCGATTACGGAAAAACGGTTACAGTTATGGAAGAAACGAGGCCGGAAGTGAGTTCTAGAGCCCGAAATCTACAAGGAAATGTGTTTAGTCAAGTTTCGAAAATGTCAAAATTTCTCAAAAATTTGAAGAAGCGGGGACCATTGGAAAAATTTCTGTTTTCAAAAAGTTGTCTAAAAATTGTGAAAAAATTCAGGGACGTAGATCTCGACGTGCTGATTCCAAAAATATAGCGTGTCGATGGTCACGGAGCAACATTTTAGAAAGAATCGGTTCGAAATGCGAATTTTTGAAAATTTCTTAAAATTCCGATATTTCGACAGTCGATTACGGAAAAACGGCTGCTGTTATCGAAGAAACGAGGCCGGAAGTGAGTTCTAGAGCCCGAAATCAACAAGAAAATGTGTTTAGTTAAGTTTCGAAAATGTCAAAATTTCTCAAAAATTTGAAGAAGGGGGGACCATTGGAAAAATTTCACTTTTACAAAAGTTGTCTAAAAATTCGGAAAAAATTCAGGGACGTAGATCTCGACGTGCTGATTCCAAAAATATAGCGTGTTGATGGTCACGGAGCAACATTTTCGAAAGAATCGGTACGAAATGCGAATTTTTGAGCATTTCTAAAAATTCCGATATTTCGACAGTCGATTACGGAAAAACTGTTAGAGTTATCAAAAAAACGAGACCGGAAATGAGTTCTAGAGCTCGACATCTACAAGAAAATGTGTCTGGTTAAGTTTCGAAAATGTCAAATTTTGGCAAAAATTTGAAGAAGGGATGACCATTGGAAAAATTTCACTTTTACAAAAGTTGTCTAAAATTTCTGAAAAAATTCAGCGATGTAGATTTCGTAATGCTGATTCAAAAAATATAGCGTGTCGATGGTCACGGAGCAACATTTTAGAAAAAATCGGTACGAATTGCGGATTTTTGGAAATTTCTAAAAATCCCGATATTTCAACAGTCGATTCCGGAAAAACCGTTGGAGTTATGAAAAAAACGAGACCGGAAAAGAGTTCTAGAGCTCGAAATCTACAAGAAAATGTATTTAGTTAAGTTTCGAAAATGTCAAATTTGGGCAAAAATTTTAAGAAGGGGGGACCATTGGAAAAGTTTCACTTTTACAAAAGTTGTCTAAAAATTCTGAAAAAATTCAGGGATGTAGATCTCGACATGCTGATTCCAAAAATATGGCGTGTCGATGGTCACGAAGTAACATTTTCGAAAGAATCGGTACGAAATGCGGATTTTTGGAAATTTCTAAAAATTCCGATATTTCAACAGTCGATTCCGGAAAAACCGTTGGAGTTATCAAAAAAACGAGACCGGAAACGAGTTCTAGAGCTCGAAATCTACAAGAAAATGTATTTCGTTAAGTTTCTAAAATGTCAAATTTTGGCAAAAATTTGAAGTGGGGACCATTGGAAAAATTTCACTTTTACAAAAGTTGTCTAAAAATTCTGAAAAAATTCAGCGATGTAGATTTCGTAATGCTGATTCAAAAAATATAGCGTGTCGATGGTCACGGAGCAACATTTTAGAAAAAATCGGTACGAAATGCGGATTTTTGGCAATTTCAAAAAATTCCGATATTTCTACAGTCGATTCCGGAAAAACCGTTGGAGTTATCAAAAACACGAGACCGGAAACGAGTTCTAGAGCTCGAAATCTACAAGAAAATGTATTTAGTTAAGTTTCGAAAGTGTCAAATTTAGACAAAAATTTGAAGAAGGGGGGACCATTGGAAAAATTTCTGTTTTCAAAAAGTTGTCTAAAAATTCTGAAAAAATTCAGGGACGTAGATATCGACATGCTGGTTCCAAAAATATAGCGTGTCGATGGTCACGCAGCAACATTTTAGAAAGAATCGGTACGAAATGTCGATTTTTGGAAATTTCTAAAAATTCTGATATTTCAACAGTCGATTCCGGAAAAACTGTTGGAGTTATCAAAAAAGCGAGACCGGAAACGAGTTCTAGAACTCGAAATCTACAAGAAAATGCATTTAGTTAAGTTTCGAAAATGTCAAATTTTGGCAAAAACTTTAAGAAGGGGGGACCATTGGAAAAATTTCACTTTTACAAAAGTGGTCTAAAAATTCTGAAAAAATTCAGGGATGTAGATTTCGTAATGCTGATTCAAAAAATATAGCGTGTCGATGGTCACTTAGCAACATTTTAGAAAGTATCGGTACGAAATGCGGATTTTTGGAAATTCTAAAAATTCCGATATTTCAACAGTCGATTCCGGAAAAACTGTTAGAGTTATCAAAAAAACGAGACCGGAAACGAGTTCTAGAGCCCGAAATCTACAAGAAAATGTGTTTAGTCAAGTTTCGAAAATGTCAAAATTTCTCAAAAATTTGAAGAAGGAAAACATTTCTGTTTTTAAAAAGTTGTCTAAAAATTGTGAAAAAATTCAGGGACGTAGATCTCGACGTGCTGATTCCAAAAATATAGCGTGTTGATGGTCACGGAGCAACATTTTCGAAAGAATCGGGACGAAATGCGGATTTTTGGAAATATGTATCTAAAAATTCCGATATTTCAGCAGTCGATTCCGGAAAAACCGTCGGAGTTATCAAAAAAACGAGACCGGAAATGAGTTCTAGAGCTCGAGTTCTACAAGAAAATGTATTTAGTTAAGTTTCGAAAATGTCAAATTTTGGCAAAAATTTGAAGAAGTGGGGACCACTGGAAAAATTTCGGTTTTAAAAAAAGTTGTCTAAAAATTCTGAAAAAATTCAGGGACGTAGATCTCGACATGCTGTTTCCAAAAATATAGCGTGTCGATGGTCACGGAGCAACATTTTCGAAAGAATCGGTACGAAATGCGGATTTTTGGAAATTTCTAAAAATTCCGAAATTTCAACAGTCGATTCCGGAAAAACCGTTGGAGTTATCAAAAAAACGAGACCGGAAACGAGTTCTAGAGCTCGAAATCTACAAGAAAATGTATTTAGTTAAGTTTCGAAAATGTCAAATTTTGGCAAAAATTTGAAGAAGGCGGGACCATTGGAAAAATTTCAGTTTTATAAAAGTTGTCTAAAAATTCTGAAAAAATTCAGGGATGTAGATCTCGACATGCTGATTCCAAAAATATAGCGTGTCGATGGTCACGGAGCAACATTTTAGAAAGAATCGGTACGGAATACGAATTTTTGGAAATTTCTAAAAATTCCGATATTTCAACAGTCGATTCCGGAAAAACGGTTAGGGTTATCAAAAAAACGAGACTGGAAATGAGTTCTAGAGCTCGAAATCTACAAGAAAATGTTTTTAGTTAAGTTTCGAAAATGTCAAATTTTGGCAAAAATTTGAAGAAGGGGGGACCATTGGAAAAATTTCACTTTTACAAAAGTTGTCTAAAAACTGTGAAAAAATTCAGGGACGTAGATCTCGACATGCTGATTCCAAAAATATAGCGTGTCAAGGGTCACGGAGCAACATTTTAGAAAGAATCGGTACGAAATGCGGATTTTTGGATTTTTCTAAAAATTCCGATATTTCAACAGTCGATTCCGGAAAAACGGTTGCAGCTATCAAAGAAGCGAAACCAGAAATGAGTTCTAGAGCTCGAAATCTACAAGAAAATGTATTTAGTTTGTCAACATTTCGATAACGTTTCGTATGTAATTTTTCAAAACAAGCCAATTGTAACATAGTCACATTGTGTCAAAGTCAACCCGACATTTATTTTTTCATTTTTCCCCACCGTGTCACTGCAAACCTCCTCCCCATGGAACAAGAAAAACTCAACAAACACTACCTCGAATTCGACATTTTCCTCAAACGGGCTCGAAAGGACTTCGAATCCCGCTACCGCATCCCCGAACTCAAACCCAACGCCGAGCTTACGGACTTCCAGCTGATCAAAACCCTCGGAGCCGGATCTTTCGGCCGCGTCATGCTAGTCAAGCACAAAACCAAGGGTGACAAACTGTACGCCATGAAGTGCATGGACAAGTTGCACATAGTCAAAAGCAAGCAAGTGGCCCACACCATGTACGAAATCCGCGTCCTGGACGCCGTGCGCTTCGACTTCGTCATCAATTCGGACTTCTTCTTCAAGGACAACGTTTACATCTTCATCGTCATGTCGTTCATCAACGGAGGAGAGATGTTCTCGCATTTACGGAACATGAAGAAGTTCGACGAAACGTTGTCGAAGTTCTACGCAGCGCAGGTGATTTTGGGGTTCGAGTACTTGCATTTTTTGGGGATGGTGTACAGGGATTTGAAGCCGGAGAATATTCTGGTGGATAAAGATGGGTATTTGAAGATTACGGATTTGGGGTTCGCGAAGAAGATCGACGATCAGAGGACCTACACCTTGTGTGGTGAGCCTTGATAAATACTTCGATATTTTGTCTATTTAGTAGATACAATTTGCACAACATTGTGCAATTTCTCTCGTCGCGGGTAAAAATAGCGCGCTTTTAGCTGCTTGTTTTCATTATCCGGAGTTGCGGAACGCCACAAAATCGCATCCAACCTCGAACCTTAAAAACCCTATGTCTGCCCTACCGCCTGATTTATTTCCGTCTAGATCTTGGCTCAACAAACGAAAAATGTACTAAGTTCACATCTCCTCTGATAAAAATAACTTAATGAATTCTGTGAGGTGAATGCTCCTTGGTCAGTGGGAGGGCAAAACCGCCAAGCAGTCTACAACGATTGTCACAGCACGTGTCGAACACCAATTAACCTCTGATAACTTATCTTCCCGACAGGTACACCCGAATATTTGGCCCCTGAAATCATCCTCAGTCAAGGGTACAACAAATCCGTGGACTGGTGGGCCATCGGCGTTTTGATTTATGAAATGTCAGCCGGATATCCGCCGTTCTACGCCAAGGACCCGATGAAAATTTACGAGAAAATCGTGTCTGGAAAATTCACGTGTCCGCAGCATTTCTCGAAGGCGCTCCGAGATCTGGTCTCGAATATCCTGCAGGTGGACAGGACGAAAAGGTGTGGACGGGAGTAAACAAAGTTGATAGGTTTAAGTTTCGAGGAAGTTTAGACTTCGCGAGAAAAACGGGATTGTGCCAAAAATACGACGTTACTTACGACTTTGGAAATTTTTGTTAGTAAACGAAAGAATAAAGAAGACGCACTAAACTTGTCGGTGAACGCTAAAATCTGATTACGAAACTTGTAGAGCACCAAAATGCGGGTTTCTTAACTAACTTGGTGCGTAGCGTCGTGTTCCTAATTCTTTGTTTGATAATAATCAACCTCTATTTTTAACTTTATTTAGATAGGTTGTCCCAAATCAGCTAAGTTTGCACCATTCAATTCAAGTTATTTCAGAAATCACTAACACATCTTAAAATTTTATTAAAATAACATCATTACCGATTTACGGGTTCATAATTTTTGTTTCAATAACAGGATCGCTAAACATGTTTTCAGTTTCTTGCTGGGAATGGAACACTTTGTACATTAAGAAAAAATGGACAAAATATAAGGCCCGCCCACCCACCCCTTCTCAATTGTGAAGAATATTTTATTCATTGTGAGCTGAAGGGCAGAGTTTGGCTGCAAATCCTCATTTCTCTACAAGAAATTACTAGACGAAATTGATCACATTTCAACTTGGGGCGGGTGGATGGGGAGTAATTTTTGTTTTTTTTTAGTGTATAGTTTTCTTTCAACAACAGGATAGTTAAACATGTTTTCAGTTTCGTGTTAGGAAAGGAAGACTTCCTATATTAAGAAAACATGGACACAATATTAGCCCCGCCCACCCACCCCTTCTCAATTGTGATGAATGTTTTATTCATCGTGAGCCGATAGGCGGAGTTTAGCTGCAAAATCCTCTTTAAGAAATTTCCATATGAAATTCGTCACAATTGAGACTGGGGCGGGTGGGTGGGGCCTAATTTTTGTTGTTTTTTTGTAATATATATAGTTTTTTTCAGCAACAAAATAGTTAAACATGTTTCAGTTTCTTGTTGGGAACAAAAGACTTCGTATATTAAGAAAACATGGACAAAATATTAGCCCCGCCCACCCACCCCTTCTCAATTGTGATGAATGTTTTATTCATCGTGAGCCGAAGGGCGGAGTTTAGTTGGCAATATTCATTTCTCTTCAATAAATTTCCATATGAAATTCGTCACAATTGAGACTGGGGTGGGTGGGTGGGGCTTAATTTTTGTTGTTTTTTTTTAATATATATGTAGTGAACCAAAACCTATAAGGTTATATGGCCATCATAAAAGTAGTTGACCGCAAATAAATACCCCCTTTGTGTGGTTCGCACTAAGCTTACCGGTTGGCAATAAAACATCTTCTAAACATTCCTTGCTCATATTTAACAGGGCCGGCTTTCAAAGCGAGTGGTTATTTCGGAACCCTCAGCGGCTGCAGGTAGTAAAGAAATAGTGGAGTGGTGGATTTTCATATTTAGTGAAAGCCGCCCCTGAACGAAACCACAAGAGCCGGTCGAGCTGCAGTGGACACGTTATTTACGACCCTAAGGGCCGGTTTATCAATGCGCAGTTAAGTTAAAGTAACTGGCAGTTAAAGCTTGTCTGTGAGTTAACCTGTTTATCATTACCCGCTAGCTCAAAACTGGTGGTCAAAGTGCCTGATAAATTAACTGACAGTTCAAACTGTCAGTTAAAGCGTTATTCACCAGTTAGTGGCAACATAACCTAACAAATCCAAATAAATCTGTTTGAATTTAACAATATTTTGATGAGGACTTATGTTGTGCAACAAATTGACAGAGAAAAAAATGAGAAAAACACTTATTATTAGCTGATTATTTTCCAGGTCTAATGTAGGTACCAAAAATTAAAACCTATCTAGGTAATAACTAGGTAATAATACCGCGAGATCGAAAAAGAAATTAATCGAAGTAGGCCATGCACGACAAGCCGTTTGTCGTAATCACGGTGGTAGGGTAATTTAATTTTTTTAATTAAATGTCAAATTGACAGTTTAAAATTAGAATTATGACGCCTACTTTTAAAACACATAAGAATGAATTAAAATCACCGTTTTCCAATTTTGTCTAAAATTTATCCCATTTCTGAAGATTCTAATAACAAAAAAGCTTTAATTTCGTTTGATAACAGTGCAAATCACTTTTGTCAACGTGACGATTAATAAAAAAATATTTTAAACTAAGGCAAACGCCTTTTCGTGCATGGCCAACTTTGATTAATTTCTTTTTCGATCTCTCTGTATTTATTTATAGGTGTACCTACTTGTTTCATTTTTAATTTCCAATACTTTTTTTCTAATGCTAAATTTTGCTTTTTCATGATTGATCACGTGAAACGCGATATATATAACTATATACAATTGTTGAATACCGAATGCGGATCGAATCTGATGGAACTTTCAAGGTCGGGGTAGTTTTGAACTGACCAATCACAACTCATTTCCAGTGGGGTGAGCGTCACCAACTTAAGAGAGTAACAGCTAAACTTCGAGCTACGAAACTGGAAGAAACATCGTGCATTGATAAACACTTTACCTCCGTTAACTGCTAGTTACCCTTATCTGACAGTTACTTAACAGACACTTTTAACTGAGCATTGATAAACCGGCCCTAAAACCTTTTCTATTGTAAACAACTTAACTTCGACACAATGGGATGATTTTATGATGGCCATATAACCTTATAGCTCTTGGTTCACTATATATAGTTTTTTCAGCAACAAGATAGTTAAACATGTTTTGAGTTTTTTCTTGGGAACAAAAGACTTCGTATATTAAGAAAAAATGGACAAAATATAAAACCCGCCCACCCACCCCTTTGCGATTGTGATGGATGTTTTATCCATTGTAAGCTGAAAGGGGGAATTTAGCTGCAAATTCCTCATTTCTATATAAGAAATTACAATATGAAATTTATCACAATTGAGACTGGGGCGGGTGGGTGGGGCTTAATCTTTGTTTCGTTTTTTTAATGTATAGAGTGACAACAATCGGTCCCGTAGTAAAAAAAAAAGATCGAAAAATCAAAAATTGAAAAATCGAAAAAATTAAATATCCACAAATTGAAAAATTGAAGAGCAAAAATCAAGAAATTGAAAACTGCAGACATCGAAAAATCGGAGCGAGAAATCAAAAAATTGAAAAATCGAAAAATCGAGGAATGGAATAGTCGAAAGATCGGGATTTTTGAAAAATCGAAAAGTCAAAAAATCTAAAAATTAAAAATTCAACTAATTGAAAAATTGAATAACTAAAAAATTGAAACGTGGGGAAATCAAGAAATCGAAAAATCGAAGGGAAAAATAAAAAAATTGAAACTGTAATATTGAAAAACCGAAAAACAGAAATCGTTAAAACCAAAAATTGAAAAATCAAAAAACCGAAAATTTTTCAAATCCAAAATTGATCTTAAGTGGAGAATCCACAAATCAAAAAATAGAAAAATTCAAAATTCGAGGAATAGAATTGTCGAAAAATCGGGACCTTGAAAAATCGAAAAGTCGAAAAATCGAAAAACTGAAAATCCGACAAATTGAAAAATTGAATAACCGGGAAATTTAAAAACGGGGAAATCGAAAAATCGGTAAGTCGAAAAATGAAAATTTTAAATATCGACAAATCGAAAAGCAAAAATCAAGAAAATGAAAAATGGATAAATCAAAAAATTTAAAACACCGAAAAATCGAAGGGAGAAATCAAAAAAATTGAAAAACCGCAAAATTGAAAAATCAAGAACTTGAAAAAACGAGAAATCGAAAAATTTTAAAATACAAAATTGAGAACGGGGTGGTACTAAATCTTTGTTTTTTTTTTTAATATATATAGTTTTTTTCAGCAACAAGATAGTTAAACATGTTTCAGTTTCTTGTTGGGAACTAAAGACTTCGTACATTAAGAAAAAATGGACAAAATATAAGCCCCGCCCACCCACCCCTTCTCAATTGTGATGGATGTTTTATTCATCGTGAGTCGAAGGGCGGAGTTTAGCTGCAAAATCCTCATTTCTCTACAAGAAATTGTCATAGGAAATTCATCACAATTGAGACTCGGGTGGGTGGGTGGGTGGGGTTTAATTTTTGTTTTCTTTTAATGTATCGAGTTTTCTTTCAACAACAGGATAGTTAAACATGTGTTTAGTTTCTTGTTGGTAAAAGAAAACTTCGTATATTAAGACAAAAGAGACAAAATATAAGACCCGCCCACCCACCCCTTCTCAATTGTGACGAATTTTTTATTCATCGTGAGCTGAAGGGCGGAGTTTGGCTGCAAATCCTCATTTCTCTGCAAGAAATTACAAGACGAAATTGATCACATTTCAACTTGGGGCGGGTGGGTGGGGCGTAATTTTTGTTTTTTTTTTTAGTATATAGTTTTCTTTCAACAACAGGATAGTTAAACATGTTTTCAGTTTCGTGTTAGGAAAGGAAGACTTCCTATATTAAGAAAACATGGACACAATATTAGCCCCGCCCACCCACCCGTTCTCAATTGTGATTAATGTTTTATTCATCGTGAGCCGAAGGGCGGAGTTTAGCTGCAAAATCCTCATTTCTCTTTAAGAAATTTCCGTATGAAATTCGTCTCAATTGAGATTAGGGCGGGTGGGTGGGGCTTAATCTTTGTTTTTTTTTTAATGTATAGAGTGATAACAATCGGTCCCGTAGTAAAAAAAAATTGAAAAATCTAAAGATCGAAAAATCATAAATTGAAAAATTGAAAAAATTAAATATCAACAAATTGAAAAACAGAGCAAATTCAAGAAATTGAAAAATGCAGAAATCGAAAAATTGAATAACAAAGAAATTTAAAAGTGGGGAAATCAAGAAATCGAAAAATCGAAGGGAAAAATAAAAAAATTGAAATTGTAATACATATTGAAAAACCGAAAAACAGAGAACTCGTTAAAACCAAAAATTGAAAAATCAAAAAACCGAAAATTTTTAAACTCGAAAAATTGATCGAAAAGTGGAGAATCGACAAATCAAAAAATTGAAAAATTAAAAAATCGAGGAATA